TTAAAAGCAGGAACTCAGGACTCACTTGCGGAAGAGCCCGGATGAAGCCAGGTATGTCATCATCTGCAAACGGAGCTTCCTGACTTCATCATCCACATTACATTAAATGACAGCACACATACATGGTTTTCAAAAGAAACAGCAAGTCACAAGTCATGTCCAATACAGCAGACTACCATAAAATCAGAATCTACTGTAATTCTTTGACATCAAAACGTTTTTTCTGGGTGCTCTGCATAAACCATTGAAGAGAAGAAAATGTGTGTTTTGATGTCATAAATAGAAACATTTTACTTGCAAAGTGAAAAATCACTTCAGGGTCATAGATAATATTTTTAGTGCATTCCTAAAGCCTGGGAATTACTTAGAAAACAACACAAAAGCAGCTCTCAGAACTCAAACATGTCCAAAGCCTTTACACACTTGCTGGATCCGAATATCTCCAAAAAGCACAAGAAAAACAACACTCCCAACAGTCTACCTAATACCCTGCTCTCTTGGTTCAAACTCCACGCACCCTGGAACGTAAGTGGAAAGATGAAACTCACCTGGGTTGTAACTTAAGTGCTAAAACACATTTCTAAAAGTTATTCATCCACCTTTATACCACTGGCATTCCAAACTCACACTTAACATGGGTATATTTAACACAAGTGGCAAGAGAACTTAACTGAAAAAAAAAAACCAAATAATAGGAATGGCAGCACAGGATACACAGAGCATCTTTTCAGTAAATTATTCCTGACTCACACAGACCATTGAGATAAAATCTGTTTATATCCACATTACTATGCCATCCATTCAGTAAATTACACCTTGAGCTTAAAGACAGAAATTATGAAATAATGCTGAAACACTTCCAGTATTTAAAAATAATAGCCAATTAATGCTTTTCCACTAAACTTCATGATCTCTGACTGGTCATGCTCCTGCCCAGCCAACATTGTCCATTCCTCAAACCTAATAAACTTTTTATTGGTCTGCTGTTAATCACTACTTACAAGAAACATACAACCCACAATGTAACACAGCCAATAAAATATTCCGGTGAGTTATTTAATTTACAGTGTACTGCAATGTTGCTGATTATTTAAATTACTAATTTATTCCATGCAAAAAGTACTTCATTGATGTCAAACAATTACCACACTAGTTTATTTTTCTCACTCCGTGAATAACTATGTTACATACATATATTAATAAAGAAAAATGCATTGAAGTTGACACTCATTTGAACTCTGCCAAGGCAATCAAGCCCTTAATTGTCAAGGGAAAAGCAAACTCAGGAGTGGAAGAGCAAGTTAATCAATAACACAATAAAATCTGTCATTTATCCCAATTAGTATACATACATATATATACACACACATTATGTATGTGCAGAATAATATATACATATGCACACATATACACATGTGTCTATGCATAACAATATATAAATATGCAGAGGTATATACATGCCTATGGATATTTATTTATGGATTATACATATATACTTCCATGTGTGTACACACAGAATATTTACTGTTAGTCAACAGTGGTAAAAATGAAATATTTGCTTCATATTGTCAAAAAGTCTTTTAAGATTAAAAAATCATATTCATTGGTAAAATTCTCTGCAGAAGCAGCTGCATCACAGAAAAGCTGTATTTGCAACCTTTAAAGCTCTGAAAGCAATTGAGTATAGAAGTACATATAGAAGGAGGATTAATCTTGATTCTAGAAACAGCTTCTAGATGCCTTTTACTTTTCAATATACTACCAGATTAATATTCCCCATGGGACGGCAGGACATTACTCCCCTCAGAAGAGACAGCCTTGAATGTGGACAACACAAACGCTCAGCACTTGTAAATGTAAAAGTAGCTATCAACTCTCTATATGGAAATACTGAACTTTTCAACAAACGTGCGTCCAAATTCCCTACTCATGGGCAGCCCAGTAAAATAAGCCAAAAATCACACAGATAGTTAAGCCGAGTTAAGAGTTGGTTTTAGCAAGAGCAGAACTAATCATACACAAAATCTATTTACCAAAGAGTAAGGGAATACAGAGTTGCTATGCCATTTTCTCACCCGTCCGTCCCAATTTACCAGGTATATTTTCATTCCAACCCTGAAAACACCCGTGCCAGTCACCATGATTCCCCAGCTACTAAGAGTTTGCTCCCTGTCAATGCTGTCTAACTACAAGATGAAAGTCCAAGCTTCTCCTGCTTCACAAATGCACTCCCCTTCCCCTTCATTCATTTGCACAGTTTAAGAAGTTATATTTTGTTTACTTCTCCCTCTCCATTTATGTCACTGAAGTAGACTGCTTATCTTGTAAGGTGCTCCCAAGGGGTTGTCCGTGCAGTGACCTGCCCTTTTGGAACTGTTTGTTGGTTATTTCATACAAACTGAAGAACCACCAGGAACTGAAACTGCTCAGGCAGCAGGCTTCTACGCTTTCATTTCACTTCTATTCACTGCGAAAGAAATTGGATAACCCATTCTATTTCTTCATACTGAGTAGCCACTTATCAAGGATGCATTTAATACCCATGCATACGGAAGTCTACTGAATGCCAGAGAAAAAGGAAGTAGAAGTTCAAAGATGAGAGACATAGGAAGGGGACTGCAGAAGAAAACAGAACATCTCCCTTCCAGCAACAGCATGCTAGTACACTACTTCACCAAACTTCATCTTACTTGATCCTTATATAGAGATACCAGCAAGTACTCCAACTCAAACCAGCTGTAACACGAAGGCAAGAGCCAGCACAGGCAAAAAGGAATGTATTCAACACCAAGCCAAGAGTTTTGTCAACAAAACACTGTATGGAAAAGCAGAAATAAGCAACAAAGTAAATGGAAGAGGAATAAACAAGGATAACAAGTCAAATTGAAAAAAAAAAAAAAAAAAAAAAAAGAGCAAAGGCTTTCAGAGAAAGAAAGCTAAGACATGACTTGGAAACCCTTGCAACCCCCAAACCTTGCAATTCAGTATGCAGAGAGTGAAAAGAGGAGACCTTTCCCTAACAAAGGGATGGTTTCAAATGCTTCTGTAAAAATAAATTATTCATAAAGAGATGCTGAAGAGATTTACTAAAAATGTAAACAGCTGAGCTTCACACAGGAGTTAAGGAAGCTGTGGGACCAATGTAAAGGCTGGAAGCATTGTCAGATAAATGTATTATTGCTAAGCACAGGGGAAAAAACACCCAGTTTGGAAGGCTGGCTGCACACAACTGTGCCACAACCACGGCTGACAACGTACACACTGCTCCAGGTGAAGCAGAACACATTTAACAATAAATCCCACATAATCCTTAAAGAAATGTCTAAATATCTTAGAAACCAGCACAAGACAACACCTTGTGACAACATGCTGCAGGTATTAGGTGCGCGTTTGCAAGCTGGAAAAAATAGATCTGTTGTACAGAGTTTAAAATCTGTGCTATCCCAAACCAATGAAATTAACGAAGCACTATACAGAGTCAGGAAAGAAACCCCAGCAACACTGAACAGGCTTTTTATGATCCTCTGACTTGCGTCACCTTTGAATGCTGAAACCACGCGTGACAGTAGTAATCCAAGATCCCTGGGTCCAGAAGCACAGCAGCTGGCAGCCAGCACGCTCCCTGCAGAAGCAGGGCAACGCTCCAGTTCACCGCTGTTGTTTTACATCAAACCACCACCGGCTAAAACACACCAGGTCCATGCCTGGTTCTGGAGCGGCCTCAATGACCAGCTGTACATTAGTGCTCTGGCTGCAGGCTGCTGCTATTGCTCCTCTCAAGTCCTGCTTCTCTCCATGAACAGGACCAGCAGCTCATGTACCTAACGCACAGTTCTGAATTTCAGTCAGGACAAGAACTGGAAGTTCACTGCTGCAAAGACAACTCCTTTTTTGGATCTGCTCTCAGATGAGGACAAAAAGGGTACAGAAGGGCCTCTACAGGACAGAGTGCTAGGCATTTTCCCACCACAACTTCTTACTTATTTTGGAATTCAGATTACCTGGGATATTTTTGCCTTCCAGCTTTCAAGGAATCAATAATTTTGTAAACTTTATACACTGACAAGAGAAGATTAAAATGAATTGAAAAAGACTGGTTCATCAACACTGCACAGCACCTAACTCAAACCTCTCCCAAAGATTTCAGCAAGGATCTCATCAACAAGCTTTACATGTACTTTTACAACATTGTAAAGTAATTAATCTGGTCCAATACAGATCTAGCTGTTAAATAAGACAGCAATAACTTTGTTAAAAATCATTCCAAGTAGATTAAAGCAAAGGGGCTTGAATACAAAATCCCAAATGCCAGATGATGCACAGTCTATCTGTCACCTACAACCAACCACAAAAAGTCACTAGTGTTAACTACGTGCAATCAGGTTTTAACATGATTGTTCACAGCATTTTCTTACAAATTCCTCTTTTAAATGCTTTGTTTAAAGTTTTATAACAAATCCCATTATATAAGGGGAATAATTGCACTTGTGTATTTTCTACCTACGAAATCGTGACAGAATCACAGCGATGTTTCACATTCCCGAGACAAACACACCGGATTACCTTCACCAGAGAAGCCACTCATTTTAATAGCATTGCTTCTCTTCAGCTTTTTTAACTAACCTGCCAGGAAGAATCCTTTTAATACTTACTAAAAAGAAAACAGGTAGTGATGTATTTCATCGCAAGGCTGAGTTCCTTCCCATGGGGCTGGGGGGGCAAACGGTGGCAAACACAGCAAATCAGTGCTCTAAAGGCCACCCTTATCACCACTTCGGTATATTGGTCAGTTATTTTCATCTCTGTTGCACAGCACATGGAATGTAACTAAACTGAATAAATTTTCTGGGAACTAGTCAGTTAACTCCTGTTACTATCCAGAGTATTAACCTGAACAAGATAATCCTCCCCACCCCCATCATTCCTAAGCATTAGTCCTCGGGAATCAGAAAGGATTTTTGGATAAGCCCCAAATATTACCCCCCCAAAAAAAAAAAATCCTTGGAGGTAGAAAAGAAGTTATAGCAGTTTGACTTTTCCCTGGAGACTTTCCAACGTAACGTGAACTCATCCATTCAGCACAGATGTTTGGAACAACGTCAAACTTCAGAAGGCAACAAGGCACTGATGGTGATACAACTGAACACAGGGCTGGTGCAAATGCAGAATACTGTACTACATTTACTAAATGTGGAGGGTTTTTTGCATGCATGAACAAATTGTCTCTGTGGACAAACATACTGGACTGGTTATGTTTTGTGGAACTGAGCTCAACACCGTTGCACAAAAAAGAAAGGTGTAGATAAAGCTATACAGCACTTCTTGTAACAATTCATAAGATTCCACAGGTCACAGTAAAATCAGCAACTGAGTTCTTGTCCTTTATTTCTCATTTGAGTTTCTCATATACTCACAAGCCTTGAGATGAACTCTAAAACGTTGGATTTTTTTTCTTTTTTGGAAACAAGTTTCTACAGTGGGGATGAGATTCTACTTGTTTAATTCTTGTAGACCCTGGAAGACACCGTGATAAGTCAATCAAAAGAAGACTTTGAGTTGGCTAGGATTCCTTGATTTGTTCTCAAACATTTTTTTTTTTTTTACTACAATGACTAATTGGTATGCTGAATACAAGTTATCTATGATAAAGACAGTATCTCTACCCTTACAGTAAAAATCTCTAAGTGTGCTTTAGGAAGTCATCTATCAAAACATCAGATGTTTATAAATATAGTACCTTCATGTTTTGAAATTAAAAGGACAAGTGTTGTAATACAGTGTTTCTTCCAGTATCAGAAAGGAAAAGCCCTCCAGTTTTGGTTCCTTAAGTCCTTACTTTCAAGCTATTGCAAACTGCATGTAAGTCTCCCTCTTTCCACAACAGAAAAGTTTCCCTTCCTCTGCTTAAGTTTTTCACAGCCCATGAACTAACGACCATTTTCTGCTGCATTCTGTTCCTCTCAAGACAGCCTGAAGACAAAATCTCAAATACAGACATTTCTACAGCACTGCAACACTGAATTTTCTCCTAGGTAAGATAGCTTTGAAAGCAAAATCTTTTTAAACTTCATTCTTCCTAAAAGAGCTGCAAATATCCACTTGACACCTAAACCTTACAGATTAACATATCATAACTGTAATTTCTGCATCTCAAGCTTGTAATACAACTTTATAGGGGAAATTATCCAGTACATTCAGCAAAATTACTACGCACATACACCTTTCCTGAGGAGTGATTGCCACTGCAACCTGAGAAAACGCTGCTATCACCTCAAAGGTGACAAATGTTTACCATTCAGTTGGTGCAAGAAGTGAAAACAACTGTGAGATTTTTTTTTTTCCAATATCAAGAATCAAATATTGGTGTGATTTAACGCACACACATCCCATCGTCTTTGATCACAAGTAGGTTTAACATCCTAAGCAGTTTTTACCATCAGGTGATACTCCTCACGAGCAAAACATTCCACCCCAAGAACAACGTTCTCAACTCCTCAGTCCTAAGGACAAGCAGGTCCAGCTCACAGGGACACAAAGCAGAACCCAAGGCCGGGACTAGTACAGAGAAGGGGGAACGGCGCCAGCACACGGAGGATGCCCCGCTCCCACGTTTCCCAGCAGGCCTGTGCCCCTCACACCCCGTCCAGCCCCTGGGGCTACCCGAGAGCCTCGCCAACCAGCGCGGCCAGGCAAACCCAGCGACCCTCTGGGCCGGCAGCCC